CGCTCTCATTGGCTTCCTTCGACTGGGGAATGTTTACTGAGTGTCGAATCCCAGTCAGCACTGGAGCCCTTTGGAATCAATCAAGTCACCAATGATTGCACAGGTTCTGCTTTTCCCGGAGCTGTGATTGTTTGATTTATGGCACTCGAGCGAAAACTCCTCCATCAAAGGAAACAAAAAATATTTTCGTTGCAGATATTCGCAATGAATCCAGAATAAAAGCTGAAAAGAATAGAGATGTTTTGAGAGTCAATCAGCACACATCATTCGATTCATGTTACCAGCACGCAGAGCCAGTCATGTCATAAGGTACCTCATTTTTTTTATCTTTAATGCAAACAGTGAATAATATTGAGGATTTGATTCTTCCTTTTAAGCATTTCTCTCTTGTTTTGCCTTATTTTGTCAAAGAAAAAAAACAGTAGTTGTTCTAAACACATCCCGCCCCTAAGCTCTCCTCGATACCTTACGTTACCAGAAAGCACATGCCATTCAATACGACTTACGTGCGTTAGGAATGTCGTATAGGTCGGTTATTTCAGGGAAATCCCTGGCTTCCTCGTCAATGAGTTCATCAACATCCTCATCAGACTCCACGTCAGCTTCCTTGTCATTTGGATTTATAGCTCTTCTTACGATCACATAAATTGGCAGATTTGCACACATATCCCCCATTTCAGTACTCAGCACTGAACCATCGTCAAGCAGTCCCACAACCTTCATTTTTTATTTCAGTTGAAGTGGTTGGTAAGTCTTCACCTGTTCATGAGAATTAGGAATCAAACGCGCGAAAAAATTGCGAGACTGATATCTCACTCACCGTCTCTAAAGCTTCCTTTAAAACAGCGGGTGTGGGAGTTTTATTAACTGAACTCGCCATACAACAAGTCCTTTCTGCTGACAGAGGAATTATCGTCAATTGCTGCATGAAAAACCACTTGAATTCAGCTTTAGTCTGTACTCTAGGGAAAAGCAAATATTAGAGTGGACACAGATACAATGAACCGACACACTTGACAGTTTGGAAGTTTATACTGAGATAAACTCGAGTTATTGGAATAAGTGATAACGATAAAGATGTATTTTTATGGCGCATTTTCCGAATGAATATGCTCTGATGCGCTTTATAGCCCTTCCCCGGGAGACTCTGGCCAAACTAAAGTTCATAATGCTCTCTTTAAATGAAGTTGAACCATTCCCTTCCCGCGCACGACAGTCCAGCGCTTTACAACCTGAGCCAACCGGGGGTTATTAATATCATTGGATGAAAGGGCGTGATACAGACCTGCAGCGCGTAACTGACAAAGTGCCATACTTTTAATAAAAATGGTAATAATCTGGTACAAAAAAATCTAAGAAAACACACAATAAGTAAAAGAAAAAAGTCCTTAAACAACTTATCGGTGAAAAGTTGTTTTATTGTTTTTTTTTTTTTTGTTTTGTTTTTTTAAAGAGAATGAGTTCAATACTTCACCGCCCTTACCAACCCAAATAATTGCATTCAACAAATACGACCAAATATTACCCTACTTTTGAAACTGACAGTGCTTTATGAACAAATAGGATTTCATTTAATTAAAAAAGAGGATGTATTTCAACCTACATGTAAATACATGGTTTCAGTCTCGCTACCGTTGGTCAAGGAAGTTGGACGGCACTGACTTAAAATTCTGATCGTTGTTTACATAACTTTTACTTAACCATGGAATAACAGAAACTGAACTTGCAACGATCGATCTTTATTTAAAGGGAACACTTTTATGAAACAGGCTAAGGGTAACGCAATAAATTTCGAACACCTCGACATCGACGAATTTTGCTGACTGATGACCATACATTTTGGAGTTGGCTCTCTGAGAGAATTTGAAGCTATATCAAGACCATGTTAATGTTCTCTTTCTTAATTCTCATTATCTTCTGGCCCGACGATATATTTTAACTGCTAGGATGTTATAACAAATGATCACTTATCTTCTTCTCGGATATCAAAGACGCTGACTGGACAGATACGACCAAAAGGGCAAGAAACGAACAGTTTCGAACGAACAGTTTCCAACTGTTTCCTGCCTGACGAAGTTCCTCTTCAGCGCTGCAGGATTCAATTCAATGTTCCTTGATAGTTGATGGTCACACAAACTACATATAACATCACGTACTCATCAATGGAGAGTGTCGCGCTATCTTTCCCTCTTAATATGTTTGGTGAAGTGGGGATTTACAACTCAGGATTAGAACAAATAGACATCTTTCATATATGACATATGAATAAAGAAAATACCGTTTCCTTTTGCCTGATGACCCATTTTGATGTAATTTTACATACGCCTATTTTAGACACTTTCAGCTACTTATGCACATTGCGGGCCAAGTGCTCATTTGACATCAATCCTTCTGCTGTGAGCGTATGGAAGGTCACGGAAGAATGTCACGATTTTGATGAGTGTTTCAACATTCTTGACACAAAATAGTAGCTGTATCAAAATGTATTTCAGATGGTTAGCGTTGGTCGGATTTCCCTGAAACAACTCACCCTTGATGTTATATTACGCAACCTCACTAAGTTTCTGACTACCTGCTTGGTGTCCCATTCACCTCTGTCAGACGTTGAAAAAAGCAGACCTCGAAAAGTCCTAAGGTTTTTGGTGCTGCTCCTGTGTAAACAATTTCCTTTATATTTTTCCCTGGTCATGCGAGCCATTTGATGGGCAAATGTCGCAGACAGTGACTTAATTTTCAGGCGTATTAGTTTTCGCTATTGATGGGAATCCGCGAAACAATATAACATTTCCCGTATGTATTTACAATTGTCAACAAAATTGTCACATGACAAAAATGATAAAAATAGTATTCTGAAAGTGGTTTGTAGGTGGTTTCAGGTGTTTTTAGGCGGTTTTTGATAGATTTAGCTAATTCCATGTACCCCCCACGAAAGTTCTTTCTTTGCGGCTTTCGCTGTTAAAAGTAATTCTTTGATCGGAAGCACCAAGTATGTATGTTGTTGTTCATTTGTGACTAATGGAATGAAATCGGATATATATCACTTCATTCAGGCTTGCAGGTTAAGGTCACTTAAGGGCGCTCATCAAAAAGAAAAGGTATTGTTCTACTCTGGGTCTAAATTAAGCGCTTGCCAGTTTACTAACGATGGGCATAAATGAGCATGTGGGCCTTTGAAGGACTGGATAGCAGCAGATGTGTAACGGATTTAAGAAAAATAACGACACTTTTACAACTGAGGATTCGTTGTAGTATGCTTGAAGATGTAGAGGTCAACACCGGTCAAGATGTTCTCGACGCGTGTTATTGCACAGATATGAATAATAACAGGGCTGTGTGAAGAAACCAGTTCCTTTCATTATTTACCTTCTGATGCACATGAAAGATCGGATGAAACTGGCGAGCTAAACGAAAGCGCTTGGACTTCCGACCAGATACGAATAAGTGATTTTGAAGTTTGTAAAGAAGACAAACTTAGAAACTATGGCGCTGTGTCGGTAGGGATTTTTTCAGATAATTTTGTGTTATCACCTGAGGGAGTTGATGAAGTAAATTGGCTGTCAAAGCGAAGGTAAGGGCTAACGCTCCAAAAGTCAGCTTTAGAATCTCTTTTCAGTGGCCAATAATCAACTCAGTTAATAAAACCAAATCATCAGAGACGAATAGAAGCGAAATCTTTATAACGTTCTGCACTGCATTAATTGAACTTAACTTTAACGGGAGGAAAAATGATAAACATCGTGATGAATTGAGAGGACCTTCCGACCTGTTTGAGAGATTTACTATTTTTACTATTTTTCTTGTATTTATAGCTAATGTTAAAATATTTCGTGACAACTACGCGAGAACGAGTTCAAAATAGATCTTACGCCCGGAGAGAAGTCTATCGCTCTACTTCATATCATATTTGGTTGTTATTCAAACAAAAACCTACGCTTCCCTCCTATCAACATCACCTAAATCCATTCCTGATTAAAAAAAAAAGGAAAAAAAGTGACGAAAAAGCGATAATTTCTGTCGAAAACCGTTGATTTGGAGTTCAAACAACTTTCCACCATATATTTCCTTCTAAGAACTCTCAATGTGTTCCCCTTGGCGAACTAAGAAATCTTTGCGCAAACACAGGGATCCGATTAATGGCAACTCATCCATTTGATCGGTACGTTTTGTGAATTCGTGGTTTGTGTGATCCAAAGATGTTAAGGAACATTGGACGAAATCCTGGAGAGCTGAAGAGGAACTTTCTCGTAGGGGACCAACCTTTGATACAGCTACTATTTTGCGTCGAGATTGCTGAAACACTAATCAAATCGTGACATTCTTCCGTGGCCTTTCATATGCTCAAAGCAGAAGGATCGATGTCAAATGAGCACTTGGCCCGCAATGTGCATTAGTAACCGAAAGTGTCTAAAATAGGCGTCTGTAAACTGACATCAAAATGGGTCATCAGACAAAAGGAAACGGTATTTCCTTTATTCATATGTCATATACGAAAGATGTCTATTTGTTCTAATCCTGAGTTGTAAATCCCCACTTCACCAAACATATTAAGAGGGAAAGATGGCGCGACACTCTCCATTGATGAGTACGTGATGTTATATGTTGTTTGTGTTACCGTCAACTATCAAGGAACATTGAATTGAATCCTGCAGCGCTGAAGAGGAACTTTGTTTAGTAGGAAAACAGTTCGAAACTGTTATCAATATTTGTTTCCAGATTGCTGAAACACCATGCATTTAAACGGCAGAAGCTCACCTGAAAGCAAATCAGAAGCTCTGGCGTTTGATTAGCTGTGTTCTTACACTGTTTGTGAAAATGGTGAGTTTTGACATTTTTAGGAGTATTTATAACACGAACCGTCGTCTGAGTAAGGCATGCGCTTGCAATGCAGATTTAAAGGCTAAATTGAAGTTGACTAGTGTACTCTTCCTCATAGGCATTTTATTCATATTAGTTATTTAATTTTGTCAAGATCCAATCCCTAATTCCACGTTTTAATAGAAATGGCAGGTATAACATGGTGGCTCAAATTTTATTTGTTTTTCGGCTCCTCAGGCTCCTCAGCCATACTTCGGTTAATATCAGACGACTTTTGAAATTATTAATCTAAATGCCTAGACATTAGTCATATAAAGCAAGAGAAAAGTCATATGTTGAATACAGGAGTAAAAAATAAGAGAAGTTTTTAAATGTTGAACGACTGAGGGTTTCTTCTTTTGGTGATTCAGGTTGAAAGTTACTCCTTTGACATTATTGAAAAGGGAACAAGGTTTTACGAGACTGTAGAAAAGGATGTCTAATGCTGTGAATTTTTAAAAATCGTTGGTTACACCAACAACAACTAATTAATGCTTCATTGTTCCTTTATTAGAAACAGCAACTAAAAACAGCCGTACGAACGCTTTTGAATTCATGCATAATTCCATTTTGAGACAGTTGGCGTTGGACGAAGCAAGTTCAAGGGTGCTCAAATAAACTTAAATCATAAGGAATTTTGTTTTAAGTCGTCTATGTTGAAATCGCTGAAATATCCAGCACCAAGAAACAAACATATTGCTATGAAAGTAGCATATCATAAACCTTCAGAGAAATTTGCGTTACATTACTGACTTGCTGTTTTTTTACAGACACTCAAGCAGTCAACATTGTTTTCGTTTCTTGCCCTTTTGGTCGTATCTATCCAGTCAGCCTCTTTGATATCAGAGAAGAAGGTAAGTGATCATTTTTCATAATATCCTAGCAATTAAAATACATGGTCGGGCCGGAAGATAATGAGAATTAAGAAAGAGAACATTGACGTGGTCTTGACATAGCTTCAAACTCTCTCAAAGAGCCAAATACACTGAAAATGTATAGTTATCAGTCAGCAGAAATTCATTGCGTTACCCTTGGCCTGTTTCATAAAAGTGTTCCCTTTAAATAAAGATCGATCGTTCCAAGTTCAGTTTCAGTTATTCCATAGTTGAGTAAAAGTTACGTTAACAAAGACCAGAATTTTTACGCCAGTGCCGTCCAACTTCCTTTTTAACCTTTTATTTTGGTTTTTGACCAACGATAGCGAGACTGAATCCATGTAATTACATGTAGGTCGAAATAAATCCTCTTATTTAATTAAATAAAATCCTATTTGTTCTCAGAGCTTTGTCAGTAAATATTCATTGGAGTTGGCGGAAGGCGGAAAAACATTTAAAGAAGAGATTTTAATCGACATTACAAAGGGAACAGAGACTTTCCACGTATCAACGACATCACCTAATGAATCAGCAGGAGATATACTCTACGATTTCAAAAGGGTAATATTTGGTCGTATTTGTTGAATAAAATTCCTTGGGTTGGTAAGGGCGGTGAAGTATTGAACTTATTATCTTGTACCAGATTATTATTATCGTCTTTTTTTATAAGTACGGCTTTACTTCGCTAAAAGTCGGAGGACTGGTCAGCGGTGAGTTGGTCAGGACGGACGTTACTTTACGAGCTCCGCTAATCTTAATCAAGTTTGGATAATTTTTCGTTTCGTTTTGGATAATTTTTCGTTTCTTTTTTCACGATCGTTTTTCTTTTTTTGCTTTCTGAGAGATTCAAGAATGCCCGAGTCTGTTGCTAGCCTTAAGAGAGAGAACAGTAAGCTTAAAGATCAACTGTCTGTCATGGCGGATGAGATTGCTAAGATGAAGGTGATGCTGCTGGAGCAGTCAAAAAAACCTGCAGCGACTAATGACGAAGTAGAGCAAAGCTTAGAATTCATGAGTAAAGAATATGATGACTTTGAGCGATTCAGGGTCTCTGCTGGTAAAGAACTTGATCGCTTAGGTGCCATGCTTGATGAGATTGCTGTTGAAGTTAACAGAGTTTCCAGGAGCATCGATGAATTTCAAGAGTACAGTTATCAATATAATGTTAAGATTGTTGGTGTCCCTCAATTGAGTCAAGATGAATCCTCGGCTTCTACGAGTGCGCTATGTGAATGTTTATTTAAGGCAATTGGATCCGCTGTCTCAATTCATGACATTGACACAGCCCATCGAGTCCCAACGAGAAGCAATGACAATGGCGGCCCGCGGCCAATCATTTGCCGATTTATTAGACGATTGTCAAAAGATGATGTCATGAATCATAAAAGAAATGCAAGTAAAGTTGCCCCATCTGCTGTTGGTTTACCTGACGATGCCTCCCTTTCCGCTGTTAGAATTTTTGACCATTTAACGCCAAGGATGCAAAAGGTTTTATTTGAAGCTAAGAGGTTCAAGGAGCAGTTTCACTATCAGTATTGCTGGTCGAAGGGATCGCTTGTTTATCTTCGTAAAGATACCACGTCTCGAGCCATCAAGATTAAGGATATCACGGACCTGCACCGATTAACGAATGGACGTGAAGGCTAAGTATTCATGTTGATGTAGAGTTGTTTGTCTGTTTTTTAGATAATAAGTATGAGTGTTAGCAAGAAACGTGTTCGTTGTACAATTAAATCTACCCTAAGCGAACTTCCATACGCGAATGTTGAAATTATTAGAGCTCATGGACAGTTTAATAACATTCTCAACAGTGACTTACCGACCAAGAAGTACTTAGACAAACTTCATAGTATTTATGATTTAGATTTGTTTCGCTTAAATACCGAATCAACATTAAATCCCGACAGAAACTTAAGCATGCAACAAATTAGATGTAAATATTTCTCACCCTATAGTTTTTCTATGTTTAAAGAGTCTTTGTTGGAATCAGATAGTCAATGTCCTTTCTCTATGCTTCATACTAACGTAAGAAGTTTGCGGAAAAACATTGATAATTTTCAAGTCCATCTTTTAGATGAACTTGACTACCAATTCAGTGTAATCGGTATTACTGAAACAAAAATTACAAATTCATCTGGGCTAGATTTCAATGCCTGCATACCAAACTATCAGTTTGAATATGTCCCAACACCTCTATCATGTGGTGGTGTTGGAATGTACATTAATAATTGTTTGAAATATAAGGTTCTGGAGAGAACATCTAAAGACGCTTTTCAGGCTTTATGGATCGAAATTGAATCCCTAAAGAGTAAAAATATCGTTTGTGGAGTGATTTATAGGCAGCATAATGATCCGGAACAATTCCTCCAATATGTTGACTTTACTTTAGAAAAACTTAGCTCCTCTGATAAAGTTGTTTATCTTATGGGCGATTTCAATATTGATCTCCTCAAATCTGAAATTTCCGATTACTCCCAAAATTTTTTGTTATCTTTACAATGTTATTCGTTCTTCCCGGTAATTGATAAACCAACTAGAGTCTACAATAATTCTGCCACACTCATTGATAATATATTTCTGAATAGATTTGATCATAAAATTTCAGGTGGAAATATCGTGTCAGACATTAGTGATCACTACTCCCAATTTTGTTTTATCCACAGTCTTATACCAAAAAATTTTACTGCTAAACATAAAATTCGCGATTATTCCAACTTCTCTGAAGAATGCTTTATTAATGATGTCTTGGATACTGATTGGGATAACTCAATGACATATGGATCTGTAGACAAATGCTTTTCTTCCTTTTACAATAAATTTAACAAGCTCATTAATAAACACGCTCCTCTCAAAATTTTATCTAGGCGCAAGGCTAAACAATTTTCCAAACCGTGGATAACTAAGGGCCTACGTAAATCTATCAAAATAAAGAATAGACTCTTTTATTCAGGAGATATCTCAAAATATAAGCTGTATAGGAATAGAATTGTTAGTCTTTCTCGTCTCAGTAAAAGATTGTATTATGAAGCTTACTTCACTACAAATCTAAGAAATGTTAAAAAAACGTGGGAGGGGATTAATGAACTATTGAACAGACAGCGTAACAGAAAAACAGTATCAGCCCTTCAACGCTCTAACAACTCTGGAGTAACACAAAATCCGTCTGAAATAACCAATATCTTTAATCAGTACTTTGCGTCTATTGGACCGCGGCTTGCACGCAATATATCACCTTCCAGGATAAATTTCCAGGACTACCTTGTCGGCACTAATCACTTTAAGTCTTTCTTTTTTGATCCCGTCGTTCCATCCGAGGTGGACTTGGAAATCTTGGCTATACCCAGTAATAAAGTATATGGCCTATATTCTTGCCCGGTTCATCTTCTAAAATCTGGGCGCCATATCCTTTCTCCACTCTTAGCTGCCATGATGAATAAGTCTATCTCAACGGGTATTTATCCCCATCTTTTGAAGCATGCCAAAGTAATTCCTATCTACAAATCGGGAGACGAAACTGATCCATGTAATTACCGCCCAATTTCCCTCCTTTCTGTCTTCAATCGATTATTTGAGAAATTGATGGCTAAACGTCTTAAATCACATTGCGAAAAAAACGGTATCTTTTTTACTTCTCAATATGGATTTAGAGACAAGTGTTCAACCCAACATGCAATTTTAGATATCTTAAGCAAAATTCAAACTAATATTGATGCAAAGTTATTCTTGTGGTATTTTTATTGACCTAAAAAAGGCTTTTGATACGGTGGATCACTCAATCTTACTGCACAAATTATATCATTATGGAGTCAGAGGAATAATTAATAACTGGTTCTCTTCGTACTTGTTGAACAGGAACCAGTCGACTCAAATTGGTTCAACCGTGTCGAATATAGAAGAGATAGTTTGTGGTGTCCCTCAAGGGTCTGTACTTGGCCCCCTTCTCTTTTTGATTTATGTTAACGACATTTACCGTTGCTCCCAGATTTTTGAGTTTTACCTATTTGCTGACGATACTAACTTGCTTTATTCAAACAAAGATCTTAAGGATCTTGAAAAAGTTGTTAATGATGAACTCGCAAAAGTGGGTGACTGGTTGGACGCAAACAAACTTTCTCTTAACACTAGTAAATCTAACTTTGTTATTTTCCATCCTTACCAACGCAAATTGGACTACATAGTTCACTTGAAAATTTATAATAACGATCTTAAAAAAAGTGTATCTCTAGAACAAAAAACTTTTGTGAAATATCTAGGAATTCTGATAGATAATAACCTCTCTTGGAAGTATCATATTGATTATATCTCATCTAAAGTTAGTAAAGGAATTGGTATAATTGCCAGGTTAAGACATCTTGTCCCATTTGCCACACTTCTTAACATCTACCGCTCCTTAATTGAACCCTATATCTCTTATGGTCTTATTGCCTGGGGACAAGCTGCTAACACTCATTTAAATAAGGTTCTCATTTTACAAAAACGTGCTCTACGACTAATGTATTTTGCGGATAGCAAATCTCATAGTGCCCCGCTATTTGTTAACTCCAGAATCTTACCAATAACTATGCTCTATTCTCATTTGGTTTCCTCTTTGATGCATGACATTGATAATCACCGTGCCCCGTCTAATATTTCTATGCTCTTTATCCACTCCGAGCAGGTTCATCACCATTTCACAAGATTCTCAGCAACGGCTAATCTGTACGTTAAAGCGTCTAGAACTAACCAACTTTTATTTTCTTTTGCTAGAATAGGTGTAAGATTGTGGAATAGCATCCCAAAAGAACTTCGTATTAAAAACAGAACCCCGTTTAAGCGTGAACTTAAAAATCGCCTGTTAAAACTTTTGGAAAATGAGGAGATGAATGTTGATATACGCTGCTCAGAAATTTGTAAATATCTCTTGATAAAGTAACTCTTCGTTTAAGTCTTGTTTCAATTGTATTATATATCTTGATAACTTTGCAATTGATTATTTAATTATTCAACGGACTTAATTTTATTTTATTTTATTTAACAATTGTATTTTTATTAATGATTATCTTTGTTTAATTGTATCGGTATGTGATCCTTAGCAGAGACAGCACTTGTTTTAGAAGGGTGGCCCGCCTAGAATAGCTTGCTAATTGCGGGTCACCTAGGACTGTGATAATATTGTATTGCTAACAAATAAAATTGAATTGAATTGAATTGAATTGAAGTCTGTTTCATGCCATTTCTTCTAATGATATTAATTACCCCACGGTTAGCTCAGGTTGTAGAGCGCTGGACTGCCGTGCGGAAGGTGAAGGGTCCAAGCCCTCAGAGTCTTAATATAAATGAGGATGTGCTGCCTATGCTATGACATCTACAAATGTTTAGACGTTCAAGTTTATCCAAATAAGGACGATGAACCGTAAGCCCCGTCTGCGGCATCTTCCCTGTACTGGATAGGAGGGGACGTTAAAGAACCTCCACACCTCTCGCAAAGAGTTAAGACCGTAGCTTCCGGTGTTGTGGCCTCACCTCGTGTTCACAAATTCCTAAATTAGGAGTACCTGCAAAATTTCATTTAAAGAAAGCATTGTAAACTGTACTTTGTCAAAAGTCCCCCTGGGAAGGGTTGTAAAGCGCACGAGAGCATATTCATTTGAAAAAAGCGATATATAAATACATCTTGATCATTATCACTTATTCGAATAACTCTAGTTTATTATTTAAGTATAAACTTCCAGGCTGTCAAGTGTGTCGGTTCATTGTATCTGTGTCCACTTTATCACTTGCTTTTCCCTAAAGTACTGATTAAAGCTGAATTTATTTTTCATGCAGCAAGTGACGTTGATTCACCTATCAGCAGAAAAGACTTGTTATATGGCGAGTTCCGTCGATAAAACTCCCACACCCGCTGTTTTAAAGGAAGCTTTAGAGACGGTGAGTGAGATTGCATTACTTCCACACCTTGGGTCTTTTACCGTCAGCCTCGTAATTTTTTCGCGCGTCTGACTCCTAATTCTTATGATTTTGTTTCATTATACAATCAGCAAACTTCCGGAACAGGTGAAGGCTTACCAACCACTTCAACTGAAATACAAATGAAGGTCGTGGGACTGCTTGACGATCGTTCAGTGCTGAGTAATGAAATGGAGGATATGTGTGCAAATCTGCCAATTTATGTGGTCGTAAGGGGAGCTATGAACCCAAATGACAAGGAAGCTGACGTGGAGTCTGATGAGGATGTTGATGAAGTCGTTGACGAGGAGGCAAGGGATTTCCCTGAAATACCTAATTTATACCACACTCCTGACGCACGTAAGTCGTATTTAATAAGATGTGCTTTCTGTTAGAGGAAGGCGTCGAGGCGAGGCTAGGGGTGGAACGTGTTTGGGACAAATATGTTTTTTTTTTCTTTGACAAAATAGCGCAAATCAAGAGAGAAATGGCTACAAGGAAGAATAAAATCCTAAAAATTATTCCTTGTTTACATCACAGATAAAAAAAATAGGTACCTTATAACATGACTGGCTCTGCGTGCTGGTAACATGAATCGAATGATGTGTGCTGATTGACTCGCAAGCGAGATGGGCCATTTTTCCTGCTTAGAATTGGCCGCCTTAGTCCCTCTATAAGAAAGACTTGGAGACTTAAAGGCTACCACAATTGTAGAAATTGCGAACATTTATGCGGTGTTTTATTTTATAGCGCATGTGTGCGTTTTACGGGGTAAAGTGCTATGCATTATCCACGGGATAATTCATGCGGTCATGCATGATACATGTAGACTCGGATTCGGACACCCTCGGTCGTTTGACCAAAAGGCCCTCTCGGTGGTCGGGAATGTCAACCTTGCCTGAAGTATCCAGACTGCAAAGAGGAATACACGTGTTTTAACTTTTAACATGAAGGAGTCCAAAGGTAAAGAGAACGATTCGTGAGCAAAGGCTTAGAACGAAAAGTTGCACAGCGCAGTTTGATGCATACGAGCGAATCACCCGACAGCAGCACTGAAAATCAATAAGAGACTTCACTTGATTCTACAACATCCGTTGATCAGAAAAAACCCGTAGATAAAGAAATTTGCTTGAGCAGGGCATTTGAACGCAATTTTGGCCCAGAAAGTCGGGAATATGAACGAACCAATCTTCAAAACTTCAAATGCCCAGCGGGTGGGGGTGGGGGTGGGGGTGGAGGGGAATGATGAAGCCTCAAATTGATCTACGCACAATTAAAGCCGGGGAAAGATGTACGGGACGTGATTTTTGCACTAACTGTATTTGTTGTGGTTACTAGGTGAGAAACGCCGAATCAGGCGAGGACTCGGAAAATGGCTTTGTGGACGGGTGTGTAAATGGGTAACCCGACAGATTTGCACACTTGTGTTTGAGAACGGGTCTTGGAAAAAGGTATGCCATTATATCGGAGAAAACATCTGTGACTGGGTTTGTTAATGAGTCACACGAGGAGAATAAACTCTTCTGTCTCGAACCAAGTGTAAATGTGTTACAAATCTTTCATTTTTTCAAGGAGAGCCGAATCCAGTGGCGCTTTGCTTTGAGCTAAAATTCAGTTCCGGTATCAAATCCCATAACATTAAGCGTATTTTTACTCATCCAGACCCAAGAATCGACTTTTGGGTCGAAACGTGAGACTCAACAACAAAACGTTTTTTTCAGCAAATTTTCAACATGTTTCCTTTTTTTTACGTTAATACTAGGAAAAGTCGCTTCTGTCTAAGATTTCAGTGAACTAATCGCTGACTCAGCTCTCGAGGAAGTTAACTGTATACACTAGGAAAAAGTCATGTCGTTCAAATGGATTCGGAATTTCCACTCAAACCGATGAGGCAAAGAAATATTGCTAAAGGTTGATATTTAAGTTGCCATGTTAGGCTTAACTTTTAATTGGCTGAATCTGACATTTGAGCAAGAAGGAAAGCGCCCTTGATTATATTAGAGGTTTTTAGATCGTAACTGAAGTTGAAATGATAATGTCCATTTGGCTTGATAACATACACGGATTTTTTTGCTCTTTGCACCTGGCATTTGAAGAGCTGCACCAAAGACAACAGAAGAAGAACTTTGAAGAAGATACGAGGTCCAATGGCCAAATCGCAGCCTATTTTTAAGCCACATGTATTAGATTTGGTAGCATATAATGTTAATATAACTAGAGGAACGTTTAGTTAGAAATAAAAGCACTTGGTAAGAGTAAAACGCCCTTGTGAGAGTCAGTACATCTCTATTTTGTTCAGCTTTTATTCTGGATTCATTGCGAATATCTGTAACGAAAATATCTTTTGTTTCCTCTGTTAGAGGAGTTTTCGCTCGAGTGTCATAAATCAAACCAAAGTACATAGAGCGCACGGGAAAAAGTGGGTGATAAGTCGCGATTTTTTTTGTTGTTTTGGTTTTTTTTTGTTTAACACCAAGCGCGGGAAAACGCAAGTGACTTGGTTGGGGTTGGTTTTAAAGCCACATCTGATTAGTTGAGTGGTTGGCACGAGTTTTCCGGGCCAATCACAGAACCTATGCAATCATTGATTACTTTTTGAGTCTCGATCAAAAGGGGATCAAGGTGGCAGGTTTCCAACCTACTGCAATCCCCGCTCCGCTGCTTCCCAGGTTCATACTTTTAGCCAACTTCCAACAATCTTGTTCACGAAAGTATTCCTCGAGAGTATTCAAAACACGCCCCACCATTACAACCTTGGACTACATAAGGTTTCCCACACAAAACAGCAGCACTAAGTGTACTTCTCCTGTGTATTAGAGGTGAAACAGTTATCCACGTGTCCGAAGCTGGGCTATAGCGTTCACACTGTTAAATTGTGTACCGCCGTCATATCCACCAATGCTGACTGCGACGTTCGACTGCTACACTGTTAGTCCTCGTCAGGCGAAGAGATCGACAATTTACGTGTGTCTATTTATAGAAAGAGGTAACTAAGATTACCAAGAAGAAAGAATAATGATAATATTGCTTAAAGCAGGCAATGGTTTGTTGTATTCTAAAGTGAGAGAGGGATATAAAATGGTAAAATCAAATTGAAAACTTTCCAAAAAACCTATATCAGTGCAGGCGGATAATTGAGAAATTTTTGTCATCAGATTACCTCAAAGCTGTGTTCTATTGTGTGAAATTTGTATCGCGGTTCTTCAAGTAGTGTTGTGTTACTTAAAAGTAGTTGAAATATTGTCAAAATCCATAAAGACAGCGGAAATTACTTTACTAAATAGAATAAACTGCAGTGTTTTAAAAGGATTTCTAACCCCGGAAGCAAAAATTCCATACTTACGTGCATCCATTTATGCGGGGTCTGGATGGGGAGTATAAATGCCAGTTGTCGGTTAAAATTTTGGCCATATATCAGTTGTCAGTTAGATTTTGGGCCACTTGTCAGTTGTCAGTTAAATGACCGTTAATAATTAACTTAGCGAGTTAATTATTACTTTGCAACCCTATTTTTTGAAAAAAAAAGCCTTTTTTAACGTAAAGACTAGCAAAAACTAACGATAAAAACCGACGTTTCGGTGTCATCATGACGCCATTGTCAAGGAGAAATAAAAAATGAAGTTTGTGGCAAAGTGTAACATTAAATTAGCATAAATATGTTACGAGCTAATTAAACAAATACTTTTGCGCGAATTGAATCGCTTTGCACGTTCAGAGTGGGTTTTAAGTCTCTGATGAAAAGCATTTCGTTCACCAAACAATCGAACTTGTTACTACACTTTTTCAGAATGCTAAAACGTTTCAGTAGGTCTTTCGGGACTTCGCTGTGCTGTTCGTGGTAGTGTTTATATATTGAAGATGCCTTTCGTTTATGTCCATCCACGCGTGTGTGTAAGTGTCCGCGTGTATAGCCCACATAACCCGCATCACACAGGTCACATTGAAATTGATAAACGACGCGTTGTTGGTTGACAATCTGTGGCTTGATTTCTCGTACTTTAAGATCTTGGCTTACTTTGCGGCTAACAAATACTGGCTGGACAGTTGTCTGCACCTTCATGCTAAGATTCTTGAGCTCTTTCTTAACATAATTTGCTGATTCTTGATCTTTGAAAGGTATGACCACACGAACAATGGATATTGGTTCTTTGGGCGTCTGTGTGGGCTGCGTACCAACAATTCTTGATTGTAAGAAGGTGTTAATGGTAGAATTTACCAGGCGCCCCGGGTATTTAAGCCGTGCGAAAACTTTCTTTAGGCGATCACACTCATCAGAGAAATGGGCCCAGGAGGAAGATAATCGGTGTGCGCGATCCAGCATAGTTTTCAGCAAGCTCCGTTTGTAGCGATTGTCTACATGGCTTTGGTAGTGTAATAGTAGGCCCGTGTTTGTTGGTTTCACATATACCTTGGTTTCAATCCGAAAATTAAGTCGAAAATAAAAGCAATAGGAACTCCTTTTTCCTCAATTCTGGAATGAAGTAACTCCAAGATCTTTCAAGTGACTTTCAGTCTTTGTTTGAAGGGTGTTTGAATAAGTTACAACTCTTCTGCAAATAGACTTCTGTTTGCCCGTGCTCAACATTGAAAAATTCCTTTCAACCACCTAGTCTATCAAAATGTCGGTAAGCTTTTGTCGCTGCTAAGCCCTACTGGCTGATCTCCAAAGTTAAAATCGTTTGGTGGAGTCTTGTTGCTTCTTGTTGACGGACGGTGGTAAATAGATAGTCGTTGTTAATTGAAGCTATGCTGTTGTGCAGGTGGCGCCTTCCTTCTTGGGAATAAAGGTAAAGACAGACCGGGACGGACTCCCCAGTGTAGCTTTTGTGGTCGCGTTGCATTATCGCTTTCAAATTATATTTTTGCTTTCGAAAGCATTTCTTTAAGGGATTTTCTCTTTTGTAAGAGATGATTGGAGGTTTTGGAAAAATTGTTTTCAGCAAGGGATGATTGTGTATCAGACTCCAATGCTCCATCAATATTTGTTTTAAGGTGGTACATTGTGACAAAAGGCAATTCACGTTACTGCCCTTTTGGCTTTTGTGTAAGTGTAAGGGCCGATCGTCTAAAGGCAAAATTGACCCCTCTCAGATACCTTTCTATGATGTTTTCTGGGTACCCTCTTGCATTGAGGCGTTTTTTGAATTTCAAAAGGCCCTCAAAAAATTCCTTTTTTTTTCCCGAAGAGTTAGTTCTTAGCAACCTTTTTACTTCGCCTTTAAAGAAACCATTTTTTACGTCTGCTGAGTGGCACGAGGCGAACTGCGTAAATTGGTCGGCTCGTAAAGGGTTTTAATTGGTTTTGGTTATCATTTATTGCATTAAAGATATTTATTTCATGGTCCTAGTTTTCGTCATTGCGACGATAGTGAGGCGTCTTTTGTGGTGAGATTTCGTCTTCTTCACCAAGACCCGATTTAATTTATTCCGCCAGAGAGTTGTCAAAGGCGGTCATTGTTGCAACTGTTTATGTTGGCTACAACAGTACCGACGGTTTCGACTCTTCACGAGTCTCTTCTGCTGTTGATTGAAGGTAGCGTTGCAATAGCAGAGTCTTTCAGGGAAAGGTGTTCTCAATTCCGTTTCCAAGTGGAAATTGCTTCCGTGACCTTTTTATATGTAGATGGTTAGGCTTGAGGATCGAGTTTGCATCATTCCTATTGGCCCGTGGTGTTGGTTAGGGAACCAATCAGGTACAGATGATTTCGATCCTTCCCAATCTGAGAGAGAGAGCCGTGCGACAAACGGACCGCCGAGGGAGCAAACTACAGAGTGAACAGCAAGGATCGAAATGCGCCAATCAGAGCTGTTGAAAACAACCAATCACAGCAGAGCATCATGCTTTATAAGATCACGCACGACCAGTCGACCTCATCACCTGAAGAAGACTAGCAGTATGCAGTCGAAACGTCGCGGTCTACACTTGACTACATCGTGAGACAAACGAAAAATTTATCTTTTATTAACTTTTAATCCACGCAATAAATTTCTAACCCCTCAACATCCAGGATTTCTGCTGACTGGTAGCCATACATTTTTCAGTTGGCCCTTTAGGAAAATTTGAAGCTAAATCAAGACCATGTTAATGTTATCTTTCTTAATTCTCATTATCTTCCGGCCCGAAAATGTATTTTAGCTGTAAGGATATTTAAAAAATGATCGCTTACCTTCTTATCTTATATCCCAGAGGTTGACTGAATAGATACGGCCAACAGGGCAAGACACGAAAACAATGTTGAAAACTTCAATGTCTGTGAAAAAACAGCAAGTCAGTAATTTAACGCGAATTTCGTTAAGATTTATGAAATGCTACTTTCGTAGCAATATGATTGTTTTACGGTAATATTTTTGCGATTGACTTATGAAATAATCATGTAACTCCCTAAAACACCCGAGGTTGCTCGTACGCAGGCTTATCGTTGTGGCAAGTTTTAGAGCACTCTGTGTTTATATCATACCTTAAAAATACATACCTAGACGAGTTAAAACAACATTCGCTAAAAATTACGTTATTTCAACACTCTTGAACTTGCTTCGTCTAATGCCAACTGTTAAAAAGAAGCTATGCATGTACTTAATAAAGCTCGTAGAGCTATATTTAGTTGATGTTTCTGATGAAGTCAGTAAAAGTGAAGCATTAATTACTTTTCTAAATGTAACCAACGATTTTTAAAAAGTCACAGCATTTAAGTAAAAGCAACTTTTATTCAAAATGCCTGATGAGATTTTCTCTAAATAACATGTCTCCAGACATGTTATTTGATATCCACATAATCTACCAAATGAAAGTTGAAATCAACCTACCATTTTAGCTTCCCACGGTGTCCACAGCAACTAATTATCTCTCAGGTCGTCTCCAATCTGCAAATCCAAACTGGAACTGTCTGAAAAAGTCTAATAAACCACCCTTTTTAAATCATATGTTAGGGATGATCACCTGAAAAAAGAAAAATTAATTGCGTATATCATTTTCATTGACAATATAAGAAAGTATCGCCTTGTCTGTTGCAGCTTTGTTAGACGAGATATTTATACTGGTGTTAGTGCGTCCGCTTGAGCTAACATCGGCTAAAATATTTCGATCCAGTGATATATATATATAGATTGTTTGTTAGGAAGTAATATATTCTTTGCTATTTACGTAAACATTATCCGAGTATGCTCAGATATCCGTCCAAAGACATGAACTGTTTCGAGAAGCAAACAGTTTTCCGAGAATGAAGTGAACAGTTCTTCGAGAATGAAGCGAAAATTACTTCATTACATAAACTGCAGTGTTTTACTGCGCGGGATGTTCACTTTTTAGTGTTCTCTGATACGCCATTATGAACAAACAAATATTTCTCTTCTTCTAAAACAACCTTAATCTTGAAGTAAATTTTAAACGAGTGGTTTGAAAACTGCGTAACAATACTTAAGTAATATCATCGTATATTCCCCAGTTTTAGCTGAGAGATATTCGGTCACGTGGTGCGTTTAGACCAATCTTGCTTGGTAAAAATATATTTTTTGCATTATAACTTTGGATATGTTACGACTTAATGAAACTGGGAAAAAAGATCCCGTGCGTAATTTAATGGTGTTGATCTTAGTTTTACTTCCTAAACTGAGGGAAGGGTATATACCCGTCGCTGAATGTCATATTCTTCCGATCTATTTGGTACAGATTGTATGCAACAAATGAAGTTCTTTCAAATATGATATAACTTATCCAGCAAGAGGTGAAAATAATAGTAAAATTTGTCAATAACCTGTGGGGAGCGTTCCCTTGATAGATCACCAAATTCTCAGCACAAATTTAGTCGCAAATATAATTCAATCAGAAGGGAGAACCGCAAATCAGATATTGTGAACCAGATTTAAGAACCCCTCGTAACACCTGTACTATAAATGAATACTTGTTCACAAACCTTTGTTTGGTTCTTCTGTCGCTGCTTGCCGGCTCGCTTGTTCCGAAATTTCGCTTTCAATTAACGAAAAAAAAGCTAGAGAGAAGTCCGGCAAATGGTTAGACACAGCTCAATTTGACAGATGGCGTGACAGCTTTAGCTCAGCTCTAAGCTTTGTACTATGATAGAGCACGCTCTTTCAACCAGCACGCCTTATATCCGAACTTTATTGTAAATCTAATTACATTTACACAGATCTCAAACAATATCCAGATACGTAAGAAAAGGTCCGTCTATCTCGGGGTAATTTAAGCCGCCTCTTTGACGCATGAATAACTGATTATATGCATGGGGGTTCCAATATTTCTTCGTACCACATCATACCTGAGTTGCAATTTCTCCTTCTACCTTAGCGATTCTCTTATAAATTAGTTGAAAGTTTGGTTTTCTGTCAAGATATCATCATCTGGCTAATAGGTCTGTCGGTTCAAATTAGTTGTTTTTCTCAAGAACAATAATGTTCTTCTCTTCCAGCTAATAATGTTACCTTCCTCTATTACAGGAAGTTCTTCGTGGTTAAATCTGTATTGGGTTTCAGAGTACCACTTGAACAGCCGAAATAAAAGCATTTTTATTAGCACACAACATTCCTTTAATCTTCTAAAAAGGCCGTTCCAATATTCATCAAGTATTATTTCATAGTACAGGTGTTAAGAAGATTTCTCAATCTCCCTTGCGACTTAATTGTATTTGCAATTAAATTAGCACTGAAAATTGGTGATATATCGAGGGAACGCTCCCTACAGGTTATTGACAACTCTACAATTCTCCTCGTCCCCTTGCTGGATAATGCATATCATATTTGAAAAAGTTTCATTTGTTGCATACAATTTGTACCAAAAAAATTGGAATTGGATATATACCTTTATTTCAGTTTAGGAAGTGGAATTAAGATCAACACCAAATTACTCCAATAATCTTTTTTCCCTGTTTTTATTAAGTGTAATATGTCCAAAGTTATCATTTATCAAATATTTTTTCCAAGCATGATCGGTCTAAACGCACCACGTGACCGAATACCCCCTAAACAATGGAATATCGAGTAATATTAGCCAGGTATTATTACGCAGTTTTCAAACCTCATGTTAAATATAATAACATTCCATGTTTAAACTTTAATTCAAGATGTCAGAGCATTTTGAGGTTGCCTCAGGAGAAGGGAAAAAAGTAAACACCCCACGCAGTAAAACACCGCACTTTATGTAATGAAATAATTTGCACTCCACTCTCGGAGAACTGTTCGCTTCTCGAAACCAATAATGTCCTTGGACAGAAATGCGAGCACACTCGGTTAATGTTTATGTAAACAGCAAAGAATATATTACTTTCCGACGAAAAATCTATATATATCACCGTATCGATATATTTTTTAAGCCGATGTTAGCTCAAGCGGACGCACTAATACCAATATTAATATTTCTTCCGAAAAAGATGAACACGATAAACCAATACTTCCTTAAATTGTCCATAAAAAGACATACGCAATGAGTTATTTTTTGCCTGTGATCATCACCAACACATGATATAAAAAAGGGTTGTTTACTAGACTTTTTCAGACAGTTCCAGTTTGGATTTACAGATTGGAGAAGACCAGAGAGACACTTAATCGCTTAAAGAAGTGAACTGACTGTGGAAAGCGAAAATGGTAGGTTGATTCAACATTTCTTTTTTTGTATTGTGTTGATATCAAATACCACTCTAATATGTCCCTGGAGAAAGTCTCATGAGTCATTTTGAATCAAAGTTGCTTTTTCTTAAATGCTGTAACTTTTTAAAAGTCGTTGGTTACTCTTTGAAAAGTTATTAAAGCTTCATTGTTTCCTTATTGCGAATATCAATTAAAAACAGCCGTACGAGCGTTATTGAATTCATGCAAAGCTCCATTAAAAGAGAGTTGGCATTGGAGGAACCAGGTTCAAGAGTGCTCAAATAAACTTAAAAGGACTTTTGTTTAAAGTCGTCTATGTTGAAATCGCTGAAATATCTAGCCCCAAGAAACAAAAAATATTGCTACGAAAGTAGCATTTCATAAACCTTCAACGAAATTCGCGTTACATTACTGACTTGCTGTTTTTTCACAGACATTCAAGTTGTCAACATTGTTTTCGTTTCTTGCCCTGTTGGTCGTGTCTGTCCAGTCAACCTTTTTGATATCAGAGAAGAAGGTAAGTGATCATTTGTTTTAATATCCTTACGGCTAAAATACATTGTCGGGCCGGAAGATGATGAGAATTAAGAAAAAGACATGGTCTTGATTTAGCTTCAAATTCTCTTAGAGAGCCAATTGGAAAATGTATGGTTACCAGTCGGCAGAAATCCTGGATGTTGAGGGGTTAGAAATTTATTAAGTTATCCTTGGCCTGCTTCGTGAAATTGTTCCTTTTAAATGAAGATCGATCGTTGCAAGTTCAGTTTCTGTTATCCCATAGTTAGGTAAATGTTACGTTAACAAAGACCAGAATTATTAAGTCAATGCCGTTCAACTTCCTTTTTAATCTTTAATTTTGGTTTTTGACTAACAGTAGCGATACTGAATCCATGTAGTTACATGAATGCCTAAAAATATATATATATCTTTCTTCCATGAATTGAAATTCTATTTGTTCTTAGAGCTCTGTCAGCAAATATTCATTGGAGTTGTCGGAAGGCGGAAGAACATTTAAAGAAGAGATTGCAATCGACATTACAAAGGGAACAGAGACTTTCCATGTACCAAAGACATCACCTAATGAATCAGCAGGAGATATAATATACGATTTCAAAAGGGTAATATTTGGTCGTATTTGTTGAATACAATTCTTTGGGTTGGTAAGGGCGGTGAGAGGAAGAATTACCGTCGGGATTTCTTGTTCGATCCTTACCCTGTTCATATATTTATGTACTGCGTCTCATCCTGGAAGTAGTGAACTCATTCTCTTTAAAATAAACCTTTCATCGATAAGTTGTTTAAGGACTTCTTTCCTTTACCTTTTCATGTGTTTTCTTATATTTTTTGTACCATTATTATTATAGTCATTTTTTTATAAGTATGGCACTTTGTTAAACGTTGCAAGCTTCGCTAAAAGTCTGTATCATGCCATTTCCTCTAGGGATATTAATTACCCCCCAGTTGGCTCAGGTTGTAGAGCGCTGGACTGCCGTGCGCGAAGTGAAGGGTTCAAGCCCCAGACCCGCCCAACACTCAAGAGTCTTAATATAAATGACGAGAATGGGCTGCCTTTGCTACGACTTCTGCAAATTTTTAGACGTTCAAGTCTATTCGAATAAGGACTGTAAACCGTAAGCCCTGTCTCCTTCATCTTCTCTATAATAGATAGGAGGGAACGTTAAAGAACCTACGCACCTCTCGCAAAGAGTTAGGAACGTAGCCACCGGTGTTATGGTCTGTCCTTGTGTCCACCAGGGGCTAACTGCAAAATTTCATTAAAAAAATACTTTGCAAACTGTATTTTGGCCAAAGTCCCCTCGGGGAAGGTTGTAAAGCGCATAAGGACATATTCATTTAGAAAATGCGCCATATAAACACATCTTTATCATTATCACCTATTGTAATAACTCGAGTTTATCTCAGTACAAACTTCCAGGCTGTCAAGTGTGTCAGTTCATTGTATCTGAGTCCACTTTTTGTTCACTTTGTTTTTCCCTAAAGTACTGACTAAAGCTGAATTTATTTTTCATGCAGCAAGTGACAATGATTCATCTTCTAGCAGAAAAGGCTTGCTATATGGCGAGTTCAGTCGATAAAACTCCCACACCCGCTGTTTTAAAGGAAGCTTTAGAGACGGTGAGTCAGATTGAATTACTTCCACGCCTTGAGTCTTTCGCCGTCAGTCTCACAATTTTTTAGCGCGTCTGATTCCTAACTCTCATGAATTTGTCTCATTATGTAATTAGCAAACTCCCGGAACACAAGGTGAAGACTTACCAACCACTTCAACTGAAATACAAAGGAAGGTTGTCGGACTGCTCGACAATCGTTCAGTGCTAAGTACTGAAATGGTGGATCTGTGTGCAAATCTGCCAATTTACGTGGTCGTAAGGAGTGCTATGAACCCAAATGACAAGGAAGCTGATGAGGATGTTGATGAACTCGTTGACGAAGAAGCCAGGGACTTCCCTGAAATAACCGACCTATACGACATTCCTAACGCACGTAAGTCGTATTGAATAGGTTGTGCTTTCTGTTAGCGTAAGTTGTCGAGGTGAGGCTAAGAATGGGATTTGTTTAGGACAATTAATGTTTTTTTCTTCTTTGACAAAATAACGCAAATCCACAATTGTGGAAAATGCGGGGTGGGGGAATGATGAACCCTTGAATTGATCGACGCACAAATAAAACTCAAGAAAGATGTACGGGACGTGATTTTTACATTAACTGTATTTTTTCGTGGTTGCTAGGTGAGAAACGCCAATTCTGGCGAAGATTCAGAAAATGGGTTTGTAAGCGGGTGTGCAAATGGGTAACCCGACGGATTTGCAGACTTGTGTTTAGGAACAGCCGTTGGCTTCGGGAATGTCATAATGTCCGACAATGGATCTGTAGCAGAGTTTGTAACTGGGTGACACGAAGAGGATAAAATCTTCTCTTTCGAACCAAGTGTAAAAGCTTCTTCAATGAGATATTAATCCAGTGGCGCTTTCCTTTGAGCTAACATTCAGTCCCGGTTTCAAATCCCAAAACCTTAAGCAGTATTTTTTTCACCCAGACTCATGGATCGATTTTCAGGTCGAAACGTGAGACTCAACTACAAAACATTTTTCTGCAATTTTAGACATGTTTACTTTTTATACGTTATAAATGAACTAATCGCTGACTCAGCTTTCGAGGAAGTTAACTGTATACACTAGGGAAAAAGTCATGTTGTTCCAAGGGGTCTGAAATTTCCACTTAAACCGATGAGGAAAAGAAATATTGCCAAAGGTTGATGTTTTAGTGGCCATGTCGGGCTTGGATTTCAATTGGCTGAATCAGACATGCGAGCAAGATGGAAAGCGCCCTTGATTGTAATTGAGGTTTTTAGATCGTCACTGAAGTTGAAATGATAATGGTAATGAAACGATTATGTCCAATTGGCTTGATAACATACACGGATGTTTTTGCTGCGGGGGGTTAAAAGCATCTGGCTTTTAAAGAGCTGGACCAAAGAAAGTAGAAGAAAACTTTGGAGAAGATACGAAGTCCGAAGGCCAAATCGCAACGTATTTTTAAGCCACATGTATTAGATTTGGTAGCATATAATGTCAATGTAACTAGAAGAACTTTTAGTCAGAAATAAAGGCACTTGGTTAGAGTACAACGCCCTTGTGAGAGCCAGTAAATCTCTATTCTTTTAATGCTTTTATTCTGGATTCATTGCAAATATATCTGTTACGAAAATATTCTTTGTTTCCTTTGTTAGAGGAGTTTCGCTCTAGACTCATAAATGAAACCAAAGTAGATAGAGTGCGCGGGAAAAAGTGGGTTATTAGTCGCGATCCCTTTTTTGTCTAACATCAAACGCGGGAAAACGCGAGTGACTTGATTGGGATTGGTTTTAAAGCCACAACCGATTGATCGAGAGGTTGGCAAAAGTTTTCCGGGCCAATCACAGCTCCGGGAAAGCAGAACCTATGCAATCATTGATTACTTTTTGAGCCCGGTGGCAGGTTTCCAATCTACTACAAACCCCGCTCCGTTACGTCCCAGGTTCATACTGCTAATCAACACCCGACAAACTTGTTCACGAAAGTATTCCTCAAGAGTGTTCAAAAACCCTCCTCCGTCATAATATTGGACTACACAAAGCTTCCCACACAAAACTGGCGCGCTAAGTGTACTTCTCCTATGTATTAGAGGCGAAACAGTTATCCAGGTATCAGAAGCTGGGCTATAGCGTTCACACGGTTAAATTGCATACCGCCGTCACATCCATCAATGCTGACTGCGACTTTTCGACTGCCACACTGCTAGTCTTCGTCGGGTCTAGAGATCGACAATTTACTTGTGGCTATTTATGGCAAGGGGTAACTAAGATTACCCCTGTTACAACAAATTTAAAGGCCAGCGGTTTATCTGCAAATTAGGCTTCAGTCCCCTCGCGTCCGTATACATATATTGAAATTTTCGCGCGAAAAGAACAGTAATGTTATACAGTTGTCGTGCCATGATCATTTCTTTGTTGCATCTCGTGTACTCTTTCTATCCAAACCGTCAGGTACGTTTCCGTTGTCTTTTCCCGTTTGATGTTTCGCTTTGCGATCCTAATTATTGTTGTCGGTAGTTCGCTGTAGTGTAATTTAAGTAAATCATGTTTCAGAAACCGCTGGTTACGAATAAATTGCATGGTTCGATAAACAGTTTAAAAATTTGCCGGTGCGTTCGCTACAACCGCGAAGAAAGAATAATGATAATATTGCTTTAAGCATGCAATGGTCTGTTGTGTCCTAAAATGAGAGTCGGATATGAAACGGTAAAATCAAACTGAGAATTTCGGACACTTGTGAGGTTTTGTTATCAGATTATGTCTATTATATGATGTTTGTATCGTGGCTCTTCAACTAGTGTTGTCAAACTTAAAACTATAACTGAAATATTGTCAAATCCTTAGAGGCAGCGAAAATTCCTTAACTATATAGAATAAACTGAAGTGTTTCAAAAGGATTACCAGGCCAGGAAGCAAAAAATCCATATCTATGTGCACCCATGTGTTATTCTCTATTCGAAATAGAAAAATGAGTATATGTTGTGAGCATACATTGGTTATTGTTTTTGTTTGTTTGTTTGTTTGTTTTTAATGTGATTTACATGGTGTTAGAGTAGGACCCAGAACGGCATTTAGATTTAAAAAACAAACCGACAGGAAATTTAAAAGCAATCCCGAATAGCCAATGTAGATAAACTTGAATGCTGCACCTTGCAGCATTCAAGAACTCTTCCAAGATGTTTCTGAGGTGCATTCTCATAACACCCGATATTCTCTCTGACAACTTTCATAAACAGAGTTCTAGACTATCAATTCGACTACATTCTTTCTCTAGAATTGGAACAAAATTTTTGGATTGAGGTGCCCTTAAAATTAAGAAAAGACAATAAAAAGAATACTCTTTGACATTCTCATTTTAGAAGACTCTTCTTTTGACACTCAACAAATCATTCAAAAGGTCAAGCTTATTATATAAGGCGGCTATAGTATATACAGCCGCCAACATGTTATATCCTCAGCTAGTCCTTAGGATAAACTTGTAGCTTCTCATCCCTCCATGATATTGTAGATCTATTTTTTTCGTAAAAGTAAATTTGTCCTATTAACAATATTATTAGATTATACTAATTTGCTAACGCTTATGTCATAGTTTTACGCCCAACATGCGACTCACCTAGAATAGCACTCAAGCTAACTGAGTGCGCATGAAAACCTCCAAATACAAATCCAAGTGATAAAATGTATGTATGTATGTTGGATATGGCTGTACAAAAAGCTAATTCCACGGTTAGTTTTTATGATTCCTTTCAAAACTACAAACTCAGACATTGACGTAAGAATGCTCAGCCAGCCGTGAATAATTTTATCGATTACAGCAAATGTTTGTTGCAATCAACCATAACTATATCTTTCGTAACGTTGACTTTTAAGTTACTTTCCAATAACATGAGCGTCTTTCACGGTGTTTAAAACGATTTAATCTTTAAGTATAGAAAGACCCTAAGACTTATTTCAGGAATATATTTCCTGTCTTTATGTGACGGAAATTGCGTTAGAAATGTGGTCCGAACCATGAGGAAATTAGGAAATGATGTTTACACCAGATTTGAAGTGATCAGTGTTCTTTTACTATACAAATATATGAGCACGTAGAAATCATCTATTAGTCCGTCTTCCATGTAAAAGAAAGACCTAAGAAACAGTCAGTGAAAAAATTTTATGTAAGTGCGGCGCGGGGAGCTTTGAAAGTGGGGCTCCTCACTTCCAGAGCTCCCTGTAGCACGCTGACATAAATTTCTTTCTTTCTTTTTTTTTTCCTAATTTATTTTCATTTTTGTTTTAAACTTCGCCGAAAGGGACTGCTCGTAATATATTGTAGCCGCGTCCTATTTGGTGTGGTCACGCAACGTGCCCTTTTCAGAGTGTTATGTGACGAGACCAAGTAAACGTCACGCCAGAGCGCGCGCTGGTCTTATTTCAGTTTTCATTATGACATAGAGATTGACGCAATTAGCGCAGAGTGTGGAGAGGAAACATTCACAAGAAAAAATGTCTCAAGTCTCTCGCGGCATGTCTTTCGTGGTGTTCTTTTTCATATCTTTAATCAGTTTTAGTTTGAAGAGAGGCGAGAACGGTGGAGTCAGATTTTTAGTTATTCGTAGAACAAAGGTAAAGAAATTTAAGAAGGTTGACGGAAATGACTTTTTCCCCATCGTGAGTTCAAGCTCAAGCCCAGGTGGCGAGGATCAACTTGGCAATAACTTCACAAAAGAAGAAAACAACTTCAGCAAGAAGCAGAAAAAGAAGAGGGCAAGATTTAAAACAATCAAGGTCGCGCCGGGTAAAGACGAACATGACTGGCCAAACGGAGAGACTCACCGGAATTCCTCGTTAGTTCTTCCAATAGAAAGTTACAAATCTTCACCTTACGCCTCAGACCTTCCGCTGCCTCCACCCTCGACGGACAGTTCCAATGTATTAAATGCCGAAGAAGCATCTGGAGATCAGCCCTGCATGGTTGAGAACGATCCTGGTACAAGTGATGCTTGTGTTGCTACTCATATAGCCTTGAATTTGACAGATAAATTTTGCTGGAAGCAAACTGCTACAACTACCAAGAAAAAATCTGCTCTGTCAAAATTCTTTGCGAGATTTAAGCGCGATGGACCAAAAAGTTCAAAGATTCGCAAATTTCGGAAATAATCAAAATGCAAATGTACTGTCCTTGTTTGCAACAAAATCAGTTTGGGCATTCATAATATATACTGACTCTTTTGAGTTTCTTATATTATCTGTATTGCAAACTTATTTGATTCTTTCTTTTTCTTTTTATTTAAGTTTTGCTGTGGACAATAGATCAAAACATAAGAAGAATAAAGATTGAAACTCTAAATAGCATAAGCTTCTCTTAATTTTTCAAAACGGTGTCCTAAATCCAACCGATAATTTTTGGCGTGTTCAATCGAAAGCTATCGAAAATCAAAGAAACTAAGGCAAAATTTAAACGGGTTCGTAATATTGCGCATCTCCAAACTGGACAAGCTCTGCAGCAAATAGATCCGTTGTATTAACAATTATAATAAAGTTCGGATATAACGCGCGCTGTCATTGGTTGAAAGAGCGTGCTCTATGAGAGTATAGAGCATAAAACTGAGCTAAAGCTGTCACGCCATCTGCCCAATTGTACTATGTTCGACCTTTTCCGGGACTTCCTTTTAGTTTTTTTCCGATAATTGAAAGTGAAATTTCGGAACAAGCGAGCCGGCAAGTAGCAACAGAAGAACCAAACAAAGGTTTGTAAACATACTAGGCGCCGTAATTTACGTTATTAAAACGTGAGCAGATACGAAAATCCTCAAAGGAAAAACAAAATAGACATTCGAGGTTTTAAAGATTGATTCCCGCTCAGTTAGATTGCAAGCTTACGTACGGAAATAAAAAATCAAACACAGCTAACACTCATATAGTATATAAAGTTCAGTGTTCAAAAACAAACAGAACAAAACAGAAATGATGAAAAATATAACTAAACTGGTATAACTGTTAAAATTCATTCTAATCATGACGGTGTCTGAGCGAATATGATCATGCTGAAGTCCATCGCGGCTCGCTCATCATGGCGATCTCTGGTCATCACAGCAAGCCTCAGAAACTACATCGGCCGCCCTTCGAGTGAAAAAATAAGAGCTTGCTCTGATATCCTTTCCGATACGTTGAGTGGAAAGTCACATCAGTCACTGCAGCCGAGTTTTGCCGTGCTGTCATCCCGAGCGATCTTCATGTTCCGGTGAATTCGGCTGTCGTTCATTCAAAAAACACTCGCCCTGAACAGTTTGTTTTCTACCTTGTCATGTGAAAAAACTCGCGTGTTTGTAATTTGCACTCGTGTTACAACGTTGCTCTCGTGTTACATGAAAAATGCACCCGTTTTCAGCCAATCATAAGAGCGTAATTTTTTCATGTACATTGTTTACTTCGTAATCGTTTGGATGGGTATCCTACTTTTTCCCTTGTAATAATATTAAGCTTCCTTGATAACTAAACTGATAACTCGACGCAAATCGATTATCAATGCCTTAAACACTTCCCAATTGTCGTAAAAAC